ATGGTCTATCAGGGAAAAATTACCTTGACTAACTAAGTTCAGCCTAGCCTTTCCAGAAGAGAACATGAAGCAACAATTACTATGGATAGCATTATACTGTTCTCAACCTGCACTAAATTGTCACTGTCTTCATCAAAGAGTCTTCCTCTCTTTCAAATCTCCCCCATTCCTTTCTTTTGCGGCAGATTCAGAATTGAACTCCGAAAAAAATCTAGCAGATTCTATCTCAATCCTCCCAGTTTTGGCCAAACGCGATCTCTTAAATGTAGGCAACAATGATTAAATTTTATAGAATAAGTTTCCTGGAATTTGTCTGCCCAGGTTGCTGATCTTACTCTGATCGACTTGCTGGCATTCTTATAGGTCCTATGGATGACACCTCTACATCCACACAGACCTCACCTCTGCATATTTCCATCCATTCCCGCAACACACAGTCCAGCCGTGTGCAGCCGTCCCCACTCCCCATCCCTCATGTAAATGATTGTATTCACATGGATAAACATTTCCACTCGCCTTGGAAATCCTGGTCCCTGAAGATTATTTCTGAAGTAATTGGATTTAAGGGTAAAGAGGCATCTTAGAAAAATGAGAACAATTGCAGTGAGGGATAAATTGTCCCTTTCCACTCTAGTTCTGAGGCCCGTTCATATTCTAGAGTTTGGGTTCCCCCCAACCCCAATACCCCAAGGCATAGCCATACATTGAGACATTGGCCCGTTTCAGGAAGGAGTGAGTATGCCAGAGCTGAAGGCGGGGATGACATTAACATCTGTATATTCTTGTCTATGCAAACATTATTATAGGTCTTCCAAGTCCTGTTAGTGGATATGTGTAGTTGAAAAACCTGTTTTTTTTTTTTTCCTCATCATAATGTTGAATTTTTGAAATAGGTTTAGACCACACAGGCAGACCTCTACCGACAAATAGGTTAAGATCCAGCAAGTGACTTCATCTGTTGGTTTGAGTTTTCCCACAAAGCACTGTCTTATGAATGTTTGTCCCCAGCTAGTCAACTCAAAGTGCCTGAAAGACTGCACATGTACACTAAGAAACAGTATAAAACAATGCTGCGAATGAGTACAACAGAAAAGGAATACATTTGAATAAGACTATAGAGAGAGAAAGTTGATTTTTAAAAAAGATTTACTTGGAGAAAAGTGAAGAGTTAACTGGAGACACTTATGAAGCTTCTCAAGAGAAGCCTGAGTGTTCAAACGTTATTGGCAATGTTCTTTTATTCCTTTTGATCTGTTTTCATTTTGAATATTTAAAGCAACTGAGTCTTTTATGATGTCCAATTTCACTTCAAAATGTACCTTGCATTTTCCTTGATATAGAAGGACTGCTATCCCTACACATATGCTTGCCGAGTATTTTTTAACATTTGAGTTATTAGTAGCTATGAGTAGTAATAGTAGTATTTGGATTACCAATAAACCCAAAAAAGAGAAATGATGAGGAAGTTGGATTTCTAAAGTTAACTTACCAAAATGTAGTAGATAATTGAAATGGCTCTGGCGAGTACTGAAAAAGACTTCATAGGAGGTAGGGGGCTAAGAAGATTTTGAGAGGAGAAGGGAGCAGAGGAAGACAGGGTTTGTCCATGATTCCACTCAGGGGCATAAAACAGGTGGAGAAATGGCATTAGATGCTCTGTTCTATCTGCTATGTGTGCAACTGATGACACATGCCACAGTAGTAGGATTCACCAAGCCCAAGTGCTTGAAAATGAAACCAACTTTAACTTAGATTGAACCTAAGATGACCTATTTTGACTAATGTTAGATAAACTTTTTTCCAGATGTTTTCAAATGTTCTCTGCCTACTCCAGTGATTTTTTAAGTCAAATTTAAGTATTAGTATTTCTATTTCTGTTTATTTCACAAATACTATTTAGGTATTCTCTCTTTCCATTCTTTTTCCTACCCCATTGTCCCCTGCACGCAGTGCCTGATGAAGGGACTTTGTTTTTGTGATGGGCCTTGAATGTGAAAGGGAATGGGTCTGGGGTGTGTGTGTGTGTGTGTGTGTGTGTGTGTGTGTGTGTATGATGGAGTTCACATGTGGAATGGCCTGGAGGCTATACTTCCTTCTAGCCTTACATGTTTTTTTGGCATGGGTGATGTGGGAGAGATTGCTAGCTATTTATCAAGGTCAGTGTCTTTTACAGAAATAGAACTGATTTTTAGTTGGGCATATGTTCTCTTTGAATAAAGACGTACAATTGCAGCCAGCTGTGGCAGACGAAAAGTGTATACCTTTCAGGTTGTACCCTTCTTTCTTCATTTTCTTGTTAGAATTCAGACATGCCAGTGACCCATCTTGGGACATGCAGATGTAAACCAGCACTCTAGGAATGGTGGTTCTGAGATAGAAGGCCTCCTGGACAGCCTCATGGGATAGAACTACTGTATCAGTCCTGGTCTGCCTATTCTGCATGTTTCGTGTGAGAGGAATAAATTTAGATTTGCTTAGGCCATTGTAAATTCAGGTCTTCGTCATTGTAGCTGAATTTAATCCAAACCAGCACATGGTGGAAAGAGAGGAAGCTAATCAATGTAATGGGATGCTACATATACAAGCAACTTGCTTAGTAGGTGCCACAAAAAGGTGATGAGTATTATGGATAGATATGGGCGATAAGGAGGTTCCCAGAAGCAGCAATATTGTCTCTGTTAATGCTAAAGAAGTAACCAAGCCTTTAAAGAATATATTAAAAATGTAGTATTCCCGTGTAATGCAATACCCAGATATGCACTGTGGATAAAAGCACACTGAAACTCAGTAAAAAACTTAATGTATTCCCTGAAAGAAATGATTAAAACTCCATCCCAGTACTGTTTGGCTGACCTTAAGATCAACTTGATGTTTAGCATTTCATATTTGTAGAGTTTAGATTTTAAGGAGGAGGGATGAATGAACATGCTTACTGACTGATTAAAAGAATACATCATAAAACAGAGAATATTCTTCAGTTACGGAGAGACAGCAATATGTCTGTACTTTGCAAGTTCATAGACAGGGTTCAATGCAAAAAAAAAAAAAAAGCTGGACTATTTTGGCTATACAAACAATAAACACTCAAGATAGCCATCCATCTAGATTTCCCAGCTCCCAGAGTTTGTGGAAATTACCAATTGTCATTCAATAAGTGTAGGAGATATGGGGAAACAGAGGTTATCAGAATTTCATCACGTCCTTGGGCTCAAACAGTAATTCTTTTTTTTTTTTTTTTTTTTTAATTGGAGGTTCGCTCTTGTTACCCAGGCTGGAGTGCAATGGCGTGATCTCGGCTCACCGCAACCTCCGCCTCCTGAGTTCAGGCAATTCTCCTGCCTCAGCCTCCTGAGTAGCTGGGATTACAGGCATGCACCACCATGCCCAGCTATTTTTTGTATTTTTAGTAGAGACGGGGTTTCACCATGTTGACCAGGATGGTCTTGATCTCTTGACCTCGTGATCTACCCGTCTCAGCCTCCCAAAGTGCTGGGATTACAGGCCTGAGCCACCGCGCCCGGCCCAAACAGTAATTCTTACTGCTTCCAAGCACATTTAGATTGTGGGTACATTCTAGAAAGTTACATTCTTCAAAGGTGAAACACATCCTTTGCCTAGAGTGAATGTATTATTTAATCAACTGAAATCATTAAAGCCACCTACATCATGACAGATGTGAGGATTTTGGCCAATGCCCTGGGATGGATGGGGGATGTGCTCAGCACCCTCCCACTCAGTGTGCATCTGGAAGCTCTCCCTTTCTTCCAGCCCAGAGAGAGTCTGTGTCTGGGGAGGGGTGGGGAGTCTGTGTTGTCTGGGAAGCACCAGGATGCATATCAGTCACTGTTTGGTGGGTAGCACGGTCACACGGCCCCTTTATCCAATCACTATGCAGGCCTTGCCTGGGCCAGAGACGAGAACTCTTTACAACACAGATGGTGCTATTAGTTTCAGTAAGAATGTTTGTGAAGGGCTTAACAGTTTACGAGTCCTCTAGGTTATTTGTTTTTATTTTGCCAGGAACTTTATTTAGATGGCTGATTTTGATCCTGGTGTTTGGACTTTCCAGCCACATCCTTCTAACTGACTAATCAATAAAGGTGTATGGAACTTGTCTTCTGGATCTATGGTAAAAATGGGCCTAGAAATGTCCCAGCCTGTGAACCCACTGGCTTTTTACTGGTGATGGCTTCTGATACTACCGCCATCCAGAACACCAAGGACCTCTCTTGATCCTACAGAGATCTTTTCATGAACATTTCTCTGGACACATTTCCTCTCTACCCAGCTGGTTGTTTAAATTGGTCTTTTCATGTTAACACATTCAGATTTTGGAGACTACCCCCAGTATAGGCAGGTTGCTTCATCTTTTTTTTTCTTGTTGTTCATTTCATTTAGCTTTGGCTTAGCCCACTTATCAGACAACTGTGTGTTGTTAAAATAGTTCACTGCTCAGTTCTACCTTTACATCACATAACTTCACCAACCTATGGCTTTTTGTTATGGAAGAAACAAAGTTCTTTTTATCCATCGTGACTAGTTCTCTCCCTTAGAACCCAGACAGGCTGTACCTCCAGCAGCCTCTCAAGTCCCTTTGTTGAAAACAATTCAGCCTTACAACAGGCACTCTGAACTACTGCTTTTTCTCTGTTCCTTAAAAGAATTTTGTAGCCCACTGCCTTGACCATTCCCTTATTTTTTTATGGTGTCACTAGTTTGTAACAGTGTCTCCTTTATTCAGGATGCATGCCTCTCATTGAGTCTACAAATCACCCCCTACATGTCTCTGATCAGTATATCTGCCTGTTCATGCATATGAGTAATCTGTTAATCAGCTTTTGCTTGATATTACTATGAACATTTCAACTTCAGGTTAGTATTGTCTTACTTCTCTGCATGGAAACTGATAAAAATTCACATCTACTTCAGAGCTTACCATCATCCCTGGCATTTTTCTTTTTTTTGCTTCTACCTTCCACATTGGTCCCTCTCCCACTCACCAGCCACAGAGGAGACGATAACAATGCTTCCATTGCTCTGCTTCAGCATGGGCAAGGCAGCCACAGTCAGGACCACATAACTGAGGAAGTTGACCTCCATGCTTTTGCGCACATGGTGAATGTCATCATGAAAAAAATTCAAAGAAGTGTTGGTGATGTGGTTGAGAATGAGCATGTCTAGTCCTCCTGCAAGAGATGGATATATTAAGAAATCATCTGGGGTTGATAACATTTCCCTTCTCCCAAAAGCTCTTTGGTGATCCCGAGGGCAAAGTTCAGAGGAGGAGGGAAGAGAAATAGCCTCACCCATGAGCTTTCCTGCTTGGACAACAAATTGCTCTGCGAAGGTCATGTCTTCCATGGTGCCAGCAATATAGTGCGCTGAGGCTGCTCCAAGCTCCAGACAGTGCGATACCACCTGCAGTGACACAGCAGAAATGACATTGATCTTAGCTGTAGACTTTGGGGTGGTAATCTCTGACATAATGGGGGGCTTAAATGAGAGATTGCTCACAGCCCTGTTTAGATAAGAAATGGTAAGTATGTTTGTGTGCTGCTGAATATAACCCTCGTGATCATCATCCTCTGTCTGAAATATTTTCTGGAACATGGTGGGGTTTAAATACATAAATCATCACAGTGCTGGGGTTTAAGTTCATGATTTATGCTTGTGGCTTCTGTGAATAGGTATTTCTGAAAGACTTATGAGTATAGATGCTGGTTACTATGTGGGTAGCTCTAGGTTTGTGAATGTTTGTACATCCTTGGGTTTGTGAGTCCATGAGATGGCATGTGTCTGGGAGTCTGCATGGGTATGAGGATATGTATTCATGAGCAGGTACTGGGATCTCAGTTTCTGAAAACATCTCTATGTATCTGTAGTTCCATGTGTAAATATGTGTGACTAGGCATGTCTGTGAGCATATATAGCTCAAGGACTCTGTGGCAGATTGCACACACATACACACACACACACACACACACACACGCATATGAATGAATGCTTAAATGTATACTTTTATATTCCTGTGGGTTTTTTGGGGTTTGAATCTATGTATGAGAGTGCAAAATTAACGGTGTGTGTGTATGTGTGTGTGTGTGCATCTGCATCTGTGTATAGATGTGCAGATATGCTAGCTTCTGGGTATATATGAGCACACATAAGAACACATCTAGGCATGGGCGGGTACATGTATCTGTGGGCATAGAACCCTCACCTTCTGAAGGGTTTCTTTTGACCTCGCTGTCACCACCACATGGGCTCCCATCTTCGCCAGATGATAAGCTATTTCTCTTCCAATCCCTTTGCTGGCCCCTGTGACAATCACTTTCTTTCCTTGGAGCATCTCTGGGGAACCCCAAAAGGAAGTAAGGACCATACCCAAGTTGGCAGCAAAATTCCTTCTCCCTCCCTGGATATAGGCAGGCTTATCTCAATTTGTAACTTAAAAGGTTATGAGCCCAGATCAGTTTGTTACAAACTGCGTAAATCATTGTAAGAACAGGCCAGGTCTTTCATAAACATGCTATGAAGTGGGGGTTTGCCCTGGTTGCTTAAACCAAGCCTCCCTGCTGTCATTTCTAAAAATCTTCATGGCAAGAGATCATAGGATGAGGGCAGAAGAGTCATGCTGGAGTTCCAGACATTTCTGGACTCTTTCAATTTTGCTCAATTGAAAGAATATTTAACAAGGAATCAAAACACATGTGTTCATAGAAATTCCAAGGATTTTCCCTCATTTCTATGTAGTCATCATCTCCAGAATTGTTTTTTTTTTTTTCCATTCACTTATCAATCTCTTCAAAGAGCCCAATTAGCTGGCTGAGTTGTGAATTTGGGTATTACTCTCATTTTTGTAGATTTCAAATTGCTTCCCATTAAGGGTGCCAAATAAAGCATGGACTATTTGGCAAGATTTTGGCTACACGATTACTCTCCCTACACAGTCCCCCCCTGCCCACACCCTGTAGCTGGAAGACACAAAATTACCATCTCACTTCAGGTTTCCCTCTTTTTCACCAACTTTGAGGATCAAGAACACATCTTGATCCTCAGGAACACTCAAGCACCCCTGTGTTTCTTAAACCTATTACTCCAAAATGAGACACATGGGTACTTACCTGGTCTGAATTCCTCATACGCAGAATAGTAGTAGTAGGCCATGAAGAGCCCCAGAATGGGGAGGAGATGCTTTTTCATAAAAGCCATCTGACAGGGAACTGGCCTGAAGACTCCTGTAGGACACACAGAGAGAACCTACAGAGCTTTCTACAACCTCCTAAGCAGGCAGCAGCCTCTGAATTGTGACATCAGGGACGGGGGAGGCTGGAGTAGTCTCAGGCAGTGCTAGCCAATTTCCCTGTCAGAGCAGCGATTGGCTTTGGGTGGGATCCCATTCGTCCCTGGCAGCCTGTGTGGTGGATTTCATAATGGACAATGTTTACTCCATTTCATTGAGCAAGAGGAGACTTCCAGATGGCCAAGCTCATGACTGTACAGGACTGGATTCCTGAGCATCCCTACTCGAGTCCATCTTACTCTTAATACCGTTTACGCCAGGGCGAAAGTGGTTTGTCAAAGACAGAGAGAGAGGAGTGCATGTAGGGCTTCTGGGGGGAAATGCGAGTAAGAGCAAAGAGAGCCAAACTCAAGCCAAATCTCACTCTCAGTGCCCCCACTCCCCCACCCAGTCGGAAGCAATTAAAAATAACAGCACAAAACAGCAAAATAAGCTGAAGAAAAAAAGTGTGCACATCTTGGGGGAAAATAATGAAAGCAAACAAGCTCTATAAGCCCCACACTCAAGTTCAATGAAAACGTATTACAACATCAAAGGAGAAATTGCAAGCCAGCCAGAACCCAGATGGCGGGAAATCCAAGACTGATTCAAGACTCTAAGGCAAGTGCAATGGATCGTACACTTATTACTTTAATGGAGAATAAAGAAGAAATAATGAGTGATAAGAAGGGCACTAAACTATTAAACTGGGTCTTGTAAATGCTGTGGAGGAATAAGAAACATGGAGAGGATGCTAGGGAGAGGCGACCTGATGTACAAGAAAAACAAAAAAAAAAAACAAAAAAAAAACTAGCACTAGGAAGTGAAACTAGATGGGGATGCCCACATCCCAGCTAAAAATAGATCTAGTAATAGTAAAAGGACCAGGGTGGTGAGAAACCTCTAGCAATTTAGAATTTATTATCAGGGAAATATAAAAATAACCACCTCAGTATGTCCATAGCACAAATTCATTAAGGAACAATCCTCAAATAAATAATTTAAGAGGTATCATTGTTAAATTCTTCAATTCAAAACCAACCAATCATCATGGAAATTACCCCATCACAATGCAATCCTGAGTTCTGTAAGTTATCAATAGAGCAGGGAAAAAAATTTAAATGTGATAATAAGTATCTCCCTTTGGAGAAGGGACAGGAGTTGGGAGTAGGGGGGACAGAATTTACACAAGGTTAAGGGAAATTAAGTTATGATTCCAAGTGCAGTATCTGGAAACACTCATCAAATTTTCACTTTAGAGTAAGAGAAAATAATTTAAGACCCAGAGGAGATGAAACAATTAGTCAACAAACGACCACAGCTGTGAGGGTCACTTGTGAAAAATAATGGAGATTTGAGAGCAGTTGAGGGCTGGATAGAGCTTGAGATCTGTGAAGGACAAAAAGAGAAAGAAGATAAAATTCCAGTAAAAATTAGGTTGCATGCCTTTAGAACTGTAAGATACATTTGTATAATTTTACAAAGATATTTATGATACCAAGATATATTGCAGACTAGACTCCATTTTCATCCCTAGAAGAAAAGAAGTGCCAGCCAAAACCCAGATAAGGTTTATTTTCTTAATCCTATACTATGAATAGTAAAAATTATATAAAACAATGAAAAGTTACTTTGAAATATGATGATGCTGAATAGAAAGATGAGAAGACTAGGGATGTTTATTGTCTGACATAAAAAAGAAAGAATAAAGTCCATTAAGAAAACATAAATTTAAAGAAAGCAAAAATAACAATGAGTAAGATAAACTGCAGAGTAATAGAACACAAAGCAAATGCATTAACAATTGCTGATTGTTGGCTCCATTAAAAAATGAAGTCCAACATTGTGTGGCCTCAAAAGACACATTTAAACCCAAAGACACAAACAGATTAATAATTAGATGACCTAATAGCTATGATGCTAGAAAATAAGGATATGGCAAAAGCATCCAATAAAGTGATTTTCATGGGATTAGATAAAATAATTGCTGCATAAAATGCATTGCTGAGAAACAAGGACACTGTGTAATGGTAGATGATACGTTAAATCTCAGCAGTTCTCAAATTTTTGCTCTCCAGACCCTTGTATACTCTTAATAATTTCCAAGGACCTCAAAGAACTTTTGCCTGTGTAGGTTTTACCTATTGATATTGCTATATCAATTGATGCATTAGAAATTCAGACTGAGGATTTTTTTCTAAAACTCAAAAATACATAAGCATACATTCCATTAGCAGTCAGGGCAGTGGCATTAGCATACCTCCTGTAGCCTCTGGAAAAGTCAATTAATATCTTAGTATAATTATGAAAATAGTTTCGACCTGTCGGCCCTTCAAGATAGTCTCAGACACCCATGGGGACCACACTCTGACCATATCATATAATAAATAGCAAATCCACTTTGTGTCCATATTTACATGGCTGTTTCTCTCATTAGCTTGTAAACTCCTGGAGGACATGGATTATGTCTTTTTCATCTTCATCTCTTTCCATTTCCCACTAGCCTTGCTCCAAAATAGGTATTCAATAAACTTGCTGTTTCAGTGTTTCTGAGATACTGCAGCAATGAGAAAATTGCTGTCTTCCTAGAGCCTAGTTTAATTTGGGGAAATCACTGGGATTCAGCATTCTGATGAGAACAGATCAATCCCATCCCCCAAATCTTTCTGGGGTTCTCAACAGAGTTTTAAAACATAGTTAAGACAAAATTAAATACAACTGTTTCAGGTGGCATTTGTTTCAAGTCAAGTATTCCCTGATCAAATTAAAGTACCACAGCAAGCGAGCTACCTGTTCACGCCACTCCTGGTGCCTCTCCTTTGTAATGCACTGACCATTTACGTTCTAGAGCAGACTTTCGGCAGATACCTGGCAGTTTTCAAACACCTGCACAGAATGGGCTCCTCAATGCTGGAGGTGAGTAGTAGAGCCCAGCCAAGAATTCTCTCTGATTTGATAATTCCCACTGGAATAAATGGAATCAAGTGCAAGTAACAAAGTGAGAAGAACATAGGGGCTGAATGAACAAGAACAGGACTATGAGGAATGGGCCAGATCTGGGAAGACTGATAGGAGATGGCAAAAATGTGAGGAGGAGCAGCCAGAGGGGAATTCCTTTACATTTGGCATACAATGTAGGTCATGAAGAAACACCTGTCATTTAGAAGGTGGCAGCTGTAATGCTTTTCGTGATTGTTTAGCAGCTTTGTTAAGCAAGTGATCTCTTTTGAAAATGAGTCTTGTTGGGGAGACTGTGGGCAAACCTCAGAGTAAAAAGTAGAACACTCTGTGTTCAGAGGTTCTGCCTTTCCTGGGAGAATTAACGCTGCAACGTTGAAACAGGAGAGGATCTTAGCATTATATGAGAAATAATATGGTTTGACTATGTCCTCACCCAAATCTCAACTTGAATTGTATCTCCCAGAATTCCCATCTATTGTGGGAGAGACCCAGTGGGAGGTAATTGAATCATGGGGGCTGGTCTTCCCTGTGCTATATATAGCTGATAGGTTTATCAGGGGTTTCGGCTTTTGCTTCTTCCTCATTTTTCTCTTGCCACTGCCGTGTAAGAAGTGCCTTTCACCTCCTGCCATGATTCTGATGCCTGCCCAGGTACGTGGAACTGTAAGTTTAATTAAACCTCTCTTTGTTCCCAGTTTTTGGTATGTCTTTATCAGCAGGGTTAAAATGAACTAATACAGTAAATTGGTACCAGCAGAGTGGGATGTTGCTGAAAAGATACCTGAAAATGTGGAAGCGACTCTGGAACTGGGTAACAGGCAGAAGTTGGAAGAGTTTCGAGGGCTCAGTAGAAGACAGGAAAATGTCAGAAAGTTTGAAACCTCCTAGAGGCTTGTTGAATGGCTTTGACGAAGGTGCTGATAGTGATATGAACAATATGGTCCAGGCTGAGGTGGTCTCATATGGAGATGAGGAGCTTGTTGGGAACTTGTCTCTTGTTATGTTTTAGCAAAGAGACTGGTGTCATTTGCACCTGCCCTAGAGATTTGTGGAACTTCGAACTTAAGAGAGATGATTTGGGGTATCTGGCAAAAGATGTTTCTAAGTAGCAAAGCATTCACAATGTGACTTGGGTGCTGTTAAAAGCATTCTGTTTTAAGATGGAAACAGCATAAAAGTTCAGAAAAGCTGCAGCCTGATAAGGTAAAAAAAAAAAAAAAAAAAAAATTTGAGGAGAAATTCAAGTCAGCTGCAGAAATTTGCATAAATAGCCAGGAGCCTAACGTTAATCACTAAAACCATGGGGGAAATGTCTCCAGGCCATGTCAGAGACCTTCACAGCAGCCCCTCCCATCACAGGCCTGGAGGCCCAGGAGGAAAAAGTGGTTTTGTGGGCTGGGCCCAGGGACTTGTGCACAGCCGAGGGACTTGGTACCCTGTGTCTCAGCTGCTCCAGCTGTGGCTGAAAGGAGCCAGCATAGAGCTTGAGCTGTGGCTTCAGAGGGTGGAAGCCCCAAGCCTTGGCAGCTTCCACGTGGTGTTGAGCCTGTAGGCACACAGAAATCAGGAACTGAGGTTTGGGAGCCTCTGCCTAAATTTCAGAAGATGTATGGAAATGCCTGGATACCCAGGCAAAAGTTTGCTGCAGGGGTGGGGCTGTCATGGAGAACCTCTGCTACGGCAGTGCAGAAGGGAAATATGGGGTCGGATCCCCCACACAGAGTCCCTACTGGGACACTGCCTAGTGAAGCTGAGAGGCCAGTGTCCTCCAGACCCCAGAATGGTTGATCTACCAAGAGCTTGCGCTGTGTGCCTGGAAAGCCAGAGACACTCAATACCAGCCCGTGAAAGGAGCCAGGAGGGAGGCTGTGCCATGCAAAGCCATGGGGGCAGAGCTGCCAAGACCATGGGAACCCACCTTTTGCATCAGTGTGACCTGGGTGTGAGACCTGGAGTCAAAGGAGATCATTTTGGAGCCTTAAAATTTGACTGCCCCACTGGATTTCAGATGTGCATGGGCCCTGTAATCCCTTTGTTTTGGCCAGTTTCTTTTATTTGGAACAGCTGTGTTTACCCAATACCTGTGCCCCCGTTGTATCAAGGAAGTAGCTACCTTGCTTTTG